TACCTTGCGGAAACAAGTAAATGTTGCTGCTGAAGGCTACGCCCGGCAGCGGTGAGGTAAAAAGTGCAGTAAATTGTCAATCCTTTATTCCTGGACGACAGGACCTACGTGAGAGTGCAAAACGGCGGATGAATAAACATCTGTTTCCATGGCTCACCTCCCAGTCTTCTTCTATTGAAGTTCCTGGGCCGCACATAATTTCGCCCGTTAGAAATATATTATATATATGTATGAAATAGATCCGAAAAAGCAAAGGAAGACCGAAATGGCCATTTCTGGCTTGTTAGCCGTCATCAGTCAGTCATACCCAATCTCAGGGGTTGGAACCCCCGAGATCATAGTCACTATGCGACGGTCTGGCGGGTTCACGATGTGAGCTCCTGGAGAAAGCAGAACATAATTGTTCCTCTTATATATCGGCGAAGCACATATATTTATATATATGTATTCACTCAGAAATGTGCAAATACCGATCCAATTGGCTTCCCGAAGTTAACAACCTTCGTGTGGTGGCTAGGAGCCCCGAAGCGGGTGACCACCTACCAGGCCAATTCCGGCCATAACTGATAAGGTGAAACCGACCAGCCATGCGCTGTAAATATGAGCACTCTCAAATGCCTGCGAGGGCGGTGCCTTAGATGATAAATTAACGTAACATGAAGAAGGAAAGATAAAGCAAATTAAACAAGTTTACTGGCGATAGTTGAATCAAAGGATTGACTTACCAAGCATGCCCTGGTTCACGTCCGACCTGTCAAAGCCTCCGACGATGAATTCAGCCTTAGGGTTAATTTCCTAAAACAACCAGACAGCAAGCAGCTTTCATATTAGTTGGGTGAAGACACAGGGAGGCATGCACATCCTACTAGGGTCCCAATTATTCTGAAATTCTAACGTATTCACACTGACGTTACAGCAGCAGCCAACCCACATTGCCTCCTACAAATAAATTTCATAAAGATGAGAGTTCACTAGCGTCTCAATCATAAGATTTAAGAATGAACAAGGGAACCACATTCGGTCAGACGACGTATTAAGCGACGGCCACTACCACAGGCTGCGAAGTAGATGTGCTGGACCGCCACGGGGGCCAGGTCAGGGCATGGCTGGTGTTTATTTGGGATGTAAACGCACCTGCACCTGAAGGTGGATAGCAGTCCTGTGCCTAGGCTCATGTCGAACCAACTAGCTTCACCCTATCCTGCTTTGGCTTTTCTTGCCTCCGTCTTAACACCGGGCGAAGGACTTGTGAGTGCGGCAGATGCAGCGTAAATCTACCATAAACACAAACTAAATTCAGGCACAAGCCCCTGTCCCGATGCCCAAAACACTGTGGAAGACACACGATTACCCAATTCAACGAAATAGTTTAAGTCAACTTGAGATTAAAAAATTCGGATACAAATGGCGCAACATTTGGTCATTTCGCCTGAAACTGGCCAGTCGTACAATGGTGCGATTTTTGTAAACGCTATTTGGCACGATTGACGATATGAGCTCTAAGCCATAGAAAAACGTCATTTGTTCGGCATGGGGACAGGATTGTTGGTAACTGATATACAGTCGATCGTCCATCTCATGAAATCCGAGAATTTTTACAAGAACCTGTCTGTTACGCAAACGCAGCCCAAGCTACTTACCTCAAAGTCATACAGCAGTAGAGTAACTAATCGTCTTAGAAAAAGGATGCCTATTACAGTTTATCAATTAGTATTACATTGTTTGGAATAACAAACTTTTTAGAAAAGCAGACAATTAAAAAAGTTGTAAAATCGGGGTCGCTGAGAAAATTTAATTTTTAAATGTAGAGAAAGTCTGTTTATGCAAATAACCAAATGAATAAAGCCTTAACAGTGAAATTGGGTTTGAAAATAATCCTATTGTGTATATGCTTACACATTACGCGCAATGTAGAGTGCGGCTGAAAATGTATGGTTTAAACTTTTCTGGCTTATGTTAATTTTCTTTTTTAGTACAGCACATATAAACAAGAGGTTTTGATCCACTGCGTTTAACAGCCTAATGGGAAACTCCTTGGAAATCAGGAAACGTTGCTTTGCCGCAAATTGACTCACCCTATCCTTGAATACAGTGATCTGGACTGAATTCTTTTCTAGTAAACAGCATTTTGTACCCCAGGTCAATTCAATGAACAAATACGTGTTAAACCACCCCCTCAAATTTCGATCTTCAAATTAAATGAGTTGGGCAATCTACTGTACTCGACTTATGTCCAGGGGACACAAGTCGTGATGAGGACAGACGGTTTCTTTAACTATCTCAAAACTGGAAGTTGGATAACTGTCACTGCGGAGGAGAAAAAGTAAGCAAGGCAAGGAAGTTTAAGATAAAGTCATGCGATATAAACACACGGCGAAACTGTCTTGTGGGCTGCCTAAACATCTACCCCCCCGCCCAACTGTCTAACGTAACTTGCGGTCAAACATTTAATGCTTCGTTAGTTGAGTGTAAATGAATATTTGATTGTGCTAGAAGTGATAGAAAAATATTAAATTAAAGAAACTTATATTTGTTTCAGTGTACTACATAGGATCAAATCCATCGACATAAACTCCTGCTGCTCAGGAAACTGATACCAAATGAAGCAAATTCAACCTTATATTGGCGGATTTTAGTGAAAAAAGGGAAATTTGGGTTACTGAAAATGCAAAAGTAGATTGTTATTATAAGTCAAAAACACAAAGCACCTCTAAAGACTGTCTTGCCAAACACACGAATCAATCCAAAATCTAGGTCAATTACTCGGAAGGACATTTGAAACACCCCAATTTTATCTCACTATGATGGGCTCTTCCTAGAGGTTAGTAAAACATTTAACTACCTGGAGTATTTTGCTCAGAAGAATAGAATTAAGAAATGCATACCTTTGGACGTTTCCAGTAAACTGGTCCTCTAAGGTTGGGAATGTTGCCGAGGGAAGTTTGATTTGGTGGAAAGTCAGGGTCTTCATAGAGTTTGTTGGTACCCTTTAGACGCTTCACAATGTTGTCGTATTTCTTTTGAGCAATACTCATCATCAGTTGCATCTAAAAAGACATTGGACTAATATAAACATTTCATGTTCTTATATTTACCGAAATGCCCCACAATCGTAAATCATTCCCATTTACCCGCGCCAGCTATGCAAAAATCGCACACTATTCCTTGTACCTCAGAAAATTTTTTGGGCCGCCTTAGAGACTGCGCCTATCTACAGTTCATTTGGCTTGCATATACATTTGCAGAAGTCAAAGATATTCATTACCGATGCTAATCACTGGAAAGAAAAGGGAAGGGGTTCATTTAAGTTTGACAATCAAATAACGTCCTGTTCAGTGCACTTGCTTAAGTTGCCAAGCCAAAAATAAGTATCATTATGAAGTTATTACTCGTGAGGTTGAGTCTTGATCCCAGGAATTCCAGGTGAGACTCAGACCAGGTGAATTGCTACTACAACAGTCCTTCGTTGGATGTTAAGTCAGAACCATCGATGTAGCATTCTGAGACGTTCGTCTATTCTTACAGGAATGGGCGTATACCGATCCAATGGCTTCTCAAGGTGAACAAACAGGGAATTGCTGGCAGAAGTCGCAAACAGACAAATAACCCGAGATGGTGGTCAGATGTATGCACAACTGAATGGAGATAGTGTTAGGCGGAAACAGGTCTCTATCTCTACTAGTGTGCCTCTCATCGGCCGTCTACAATCATTGAGAAGAAGTACTTTCGATCACCGGTGATCGGTAGTTTCGATCAGTGACCGGTAGTTTCGATCACCGATGATCGAATTAAAACCGAGGATCCTCCTTCGACTTAAGTTTCCTTTGTATTAGTGTTCTTTCATCAGAATTACAAAGCTACACACAGCAGCACTGACAGTTCAATAAAAAAATTTCAATTTATTTTAACTCGAACCTTAAGGGAAGAATTAACTTCAAACGAAGTTCTGCTAATTGAAACTACAAGTGCCATGACTGTTTCTAACCTTAAAAAATATTCTGGTGGACGTATAAACTGACTTGTTCGGTAGAAAATCCATGGCGTTCAGGATAAATTTTAATATGGTTATGGGTTGGCAGAGGAGCCCTGGGTTTCATCATCATTTATTACCAAAGCTAATAGAAGTCAAGAGGCGGGTTCCAGGAAGCAGGTCAGAAGCAAAAGATGCGATGGCAAGGAACAATAAGTTTATTGACCTGGCGTTTTGGATTCTTACTAGGATCCATCATCAGAGATTGCTGTGTACCAGTATGAGCCATAAGCAAATACCAGGCACCTGGTCGTGAGGCCGAACTACCCACCGCTACGGCATGAATAGTCTGCAGTCGTTTACCGGATCTGGTGCCCTAGCGGACAAAGAAACTTCGTCCGAGCAACTGGAAGATTATCCTGCACGTGAATAAACGAACACGCAGTAGCAGCAGCAGCAGCAGCAGCAATGGCAGCAGTGAGGAGGAATGAGTTTAGCTCTCAGTTCAGAGCTCATTTGACGGGACCCTCACATACCGAATCGATCGAGGCAGAAAGAGTTTGCAACCGCGTCAACCGCCAACACCATGTTTCTACGGCCCGCCGTCAATCAGCAAACAAAAGCACGTCTCCGCAACACGTTCTCTGCTGAGACTTTGCTTGGGCAGATTAATGAGCCACGCCGAGAGGCGCTGGGTGACCAACGGCGGGACAAAGGGCCGAGAAAGCATCACGCCAAAAATCCACAATGCTGATAAAATTACAGACTAACAAAGCAATCATCGTCTTAAACGTGACCCTCGTCTATAAATGCGAGAACTACTGATTACAGTAGGCAAATGACTGTGCGGCAACGCCTTGTGAACCCACTATCCTTATCTACGACTGCCTTTGTTCATGGGGTACGAAGGAAAATCTGACGGATCTGGTCAATAAACTTCTTGTTCCAACGGTCGCACAGTCTTTTTTTACTGTCATCTTAAGTTGGATAAAATATGCTTGGAAATTAAACTGATAATTATTCATGCAACTAAAGACCACTCGCCCCCCTCCCACAAGTTGACAGTCATTTTCGCGTATCCTACCTTTGTGTAACCCTTGGGAGTGAGCGTCTTTGGAATATCGGGATCAATGGTGAGACGCTTGGTGGACTTTTGTGCAGTCGTATATTGTTCTATAGAAGGAAGAAAAGGCACACATCATAAAGGAAGCAGGATTTTTATAAAAATGAAAAACAATTATAACGTTGGAGAAGTAGTGAATGAGTCATGTCAACTGATTAATAACGTAGAAGGCAAACACCAGCTGACTTTATCAAAAACTGTGAAAAACCGAAGGCATAGAATGGAATTGTCGATGGGACTGCCACGCGGAGTTTGCAAACCCGACAACTCATCGCCAATAGTGGAGAATATGCGAGTTCCA